GCAAAATACTAATAACTAAGCTCATGCAAAGACTCACTCCAGATTCTGGTTGAATGTCAAGCCCGGCTGCAGCCGCCAGTGACACCGGGCCCGGGATTTTTGGCAGTGGGGGTTCCGAAACAGTCCTCCTTGTAGAGGAGGGCTGGGACGACTTTGGTCTCTGGTGAACATAACGGCAAGAGTTACCGTAAGTACAAGCACTTTTTAGATAATAACGACAAATCTGAGAGAGAGAGAGAAAAAAAATTATTTAAGTTACAAATGTTGTTTTTACTGAGTCTGGGGTATCTTTTGTGTCGTGAGAGAAAGGACAAGAAGCTCCTCTGCTGCAGCAGTTACTCATGTAGTATCTAGAGGGAGAGAATAAATTGGAGCAAGAGATAAAATGCAGTCATTTGAGGAGAATTTACCTGCAGAGTACTTTGGATGTAGCCATTTTGTTTTCACGTGGGCATGCATACCACGCCTTTTGTTATAGGCGTGGTATGCCACGCCTATAATAAAGATGGCGTCCAATGAGGAGGTAGTTCAACGCGTTCTTCGGAAAATGAGACGTGTACTGTTAGAAGAAATGCCGGAGCCTAGAGATCTTATTGAAGATGAGAGGTTTGGTCGTTGTATTAGCGGCTATGAGAAGACTGAAGTGGCTAGTCTGAAGGATTTTACTGAAAGGGTTGAGAAATTCATAAAATTTTTGGAATGGAAAGGACCCGACTTCTTTGAATCCTTTTTAAAAGTTTTACGAGACTATAGGCCGTCACTGGAAAAAAAATTGAGAGAAGAAAGAGACTCGATTGAGAGAGAAATGAGATTTAAAGGTAAGCTGGGTGTGACCAGAATCCAACAAAGAAATAAAATTTTCATTTTATTTTGGATCATCTAGATATTAATAATCATCACAAAGGAGCTGCCAATGGAAAAGATGGAATGGACGAAGGTAAAAAAAATTATCATTTTTATTGCATGTTTATGTAAAATATGAAATACCCCTGTGTTCCTTTTTTATCCAGCTGGCACAACTAGTTTTAATGATTGTGGCCCGGGTCCTTCATACCACATCAGTCACATAAGCTATTCCGGCGTTCAGCTTCTCGCTGATAACCTAAACGACTCTAAAACATTCAAGGATTTCTGTCAAGCTATGAGAGTCGATAGAGACTTGATAGTGATATCGCAGCGTTCGTTAAACCCCACGGCTTGCCTCCTCCAGGAAATGCATGGCGACTCTGAAGCCACAATGGAAAGACTCTCTGAAGCATTAGGGAGTATTGGTAAAGGAGAACTTTATTCGTCTCTTTTGCAATTAATGAACTAATAATTTATTATTATTATTATTATGTGTGGGTTTTTGTGTCTAAAATTATCAATCAATTTAATAATCATTTTTATTGCATCGTATCTATTACTAATTTTGTGACACATCAACATGACTTCTATTATTGAAATTATCACATTATCATTACATTATTACAATAATTGTGCTGTCTAATGTCTAAACAAAGAATGATTTGAGTGATTTGACTGGTGTCGAAACGGCAGCTTTTCCTTTTCTAGTAGAACCACCTTTTGAATTCTGTTTGCCAGTTCTCTGTGACTTCTTTATCGTGCTTCTTGATAATGGAGTAGCCAATTTACTGAATAATACACAAAAATAATGATGAAAGCAAAAACTATACAAAGTATTCCATACAGTATAGAATAATCTGCAATTTAGTTAAATGTAAACATAGAGAAAGAAGTTTTAGTTGAATCAGCTTATTTGTTCCATTGTCACAAAATCTGTAACAAGCAAAATTATTGAGCAACTTAAATTTTTCGTGGTTTACAAAATATTTGCTAATATAGTAGTCAGTGGGTTTAAGCCTGCATAAAATAAACCAGCTATATGGTATACCTTGTGGTCTTGCTTATGGAAGGCTGTTGCAGCAATTCAAAACTCTTATTACCAGTAGAGCTACAGCTACTGACATCAACAGGATCAATAGACATCTCTTCAATGGCGGACTGGTTAAGACACTCATCAACGTGTAGGTTCAGTGCAGCATTATCACCAGGTACATCTTTATTACATATAGGACACTTTAAACATGTCTATGATGAAAAATATCATTGAAAAGGTCCTTGATTAAAACCATTAATCTTACTTTCATTTCAATTGATGAGGTCTCGAATCCATCTTCCAAACTTCCTTCAACTTCCTCAGACATCTTTGTTTCGAAACCATCTTCCGAATTTCTTTGAACTTCCTCAGACATCTTGACTCTTTTACTTTCCATGGTACTTGACTCTTTCTCCTCCGGTGAAAAGAACCTGTCCAGTGATACAGTTGCAGCTGCACTTGTGCTTCTCTTTTTACTGGGGGATTTACTGGTTCCTTCAAGACTAGATAATCTAACTCCTGCATGCAATCAAGAAGAACACATCATCAATGATCAATGCTATTTATAGTAGTGAGCTATATGTAATGATCTATTTATAGAATGAGATACTGCTATTTATAGTTACAAAAATTATTCAAGGCCACTGTGTATGTTGTACATGTACATGTACTGTATACATACACACACAAGTGAGTTTTTTTATTTTTAGTACCCATTAAACGGAGTTTTAGTTGAGAATTGTTCTTCATTTCTGTTTCTAGCAGGATCCTTGCTGCTTTGTGAATATCAGCAAAGGAGCTTATAGGATTGGGGAAAGTCATAGAGCGTTGCTTCACTTCAAAAGCACTAGTCTTCAGTTTCAATGTCACAGTCTTTCCCTGCAAGTACAAGATAGGTGTAAGCTAATAGTATTTCTCTTCTTGCCTTAATATTGCTCTCTTCAACTTCTTCTGTCAGTGAATAGCATAACTTGTGGCACTTTTGAAAGAGTTCAGATGGCTTCCAAATATCAGGGAATGTTCTTAAAATTAAAAAAAACAACAATAATCTTAATTTACTTTACATGTAACTTACCTCTCTGTACTGATGCTCTTTCTCTCCCACTCACTATTAAAAAAAGAAATATTATTTTAGACTTTTAAAATATAATTACCTGTGGACTGTACAGGACCCTATACCAAGACAAATATTCATAAAATAGTCATAGGAACACTTGGAAAACATGAGCCTCAGAAGACCTCTTTTATCATAAATATCTGCACCTGTGACAATCCCCAGGGCATTCAGCATTTTCTCGGTCACCTTTCCAATCCCACTAACCTAGAATGAATCATTCAAAATTTAAATTCAAATAATCACTCAAAGTTTAAATATTCAAAATTTTAAAATGCCCTACTTTTCTGATTGGTAGCTTCCTAATAAATTCCAGTATCTTTTCCCTTGATGGTGGGATCATGTACTGCCCATTCGGTTTGTTCATGTCTGATGCAATTTTAGCCAGCATCTTATTAGAAGCAATCCCAGCACTAGCTGTTAGCTGGGTAGTTAAATGTATTCTCTCTCTGATTTCGCTAACTACCTTCTCGGCACATTCCCAGTAACTATTGGGAAGGCATTGATCGGAATCACAAATTAGATCATCAATCTGATGTGAATCAGTATCATTGAGTGATTCATTACTACCGTGCTGCGATTTCATATCAGTAGAGTAAGATTCTGGATCGTCAATTTGAAGCAATTTTGCATCAGTTTCTTGAGATGATTCTGGATCAATTTGAATCAGTTTTGTATCAGTTTGATGAACTAAGCTATGCTTCAAAGACTCAGCATTCTCAACTGATGAATCACCAAAACTCTGAGTGACCCTATTCTCTTCTTCAACTGGCACTTGTTCCTCCTTTCCCCTCATTAATTCCGTCACATATTCCGTTATGTCTAAATATGCTTCATCAAGGCCAACGGAAGAGAAGAGTGGATCATAGTTGGAGAGTATTTCTCTCACAGTTTGACTCACCTCCTGGTACTTGCTAAAGTGAGACTTGACAATAACAAGCTGAGGACAAAGTTTCTTAGCTATGAAGCCTGGCATGGCCGCTCTTACTCCATACCTGCGAGCTAGGTAATTCGAAGTACTCTGAAAAAAGAAATAAATAGATAAAACAGTGAGCCATTAATGAGGAATACATTTTCTATTTTACTTACTAGCATGGACTGGCCTCCAACAGCCATGGGTACGTTCAAAAGTGAGGGATCATCTCTCATCTCTACAGCTGCATAAAATGCATCCATATCAACATGAACTATGATATGATTTAAGTCTCTCCTTAGCTCAATGGTTGCAATATCATTGTCACTAGCAGCTACTGAAGTTTCTATTGCGGATGGACTCAGCTGTTTTAACTCCTTGAGCATGGTATCAATTTTTTCTTTAACTTTTCTTTCCTTTTGGAGCTCGTTCTCGTAGTACTTGGACCCCTTGGAAGCCTGGATGATGATTTGGTCAATTTTGGTCTTGTCCAGACCCTCCATGCCAGCCTTGTTCGTGTTAAGACCAATTCGTGACAAAGGTGGGGAAGACTGCAGTTGTTCCATGGGTCCAGGTGATTCGGCATTGCTTCCAGGTGATGTAAAATCCATTTGATTTGAAGGCTTTGCTGCAGCCATAATAAAATTAACTCAGTGCATAAAGGGTTAAAAAGACAACGTTTCTCCACGTGACTTCCGAACACTTCCGGATACTGTCAAAAACAAGATTTAGAAGCCACACCCATATTAATTATAAATTTTTAATTAAAATTAATTAACTATTTCTTTGCACCATGAGCATGTTCTTCTTCACAGCTTTGTCTTTCTTCTTCCTCTGTATCTATGGTAGCTGCGATTCTGTTAATAGCACAAAAGATGACCCAATTCCTCCATATACCACCTCCTATTACACTCAGCAGCTGGACAATTTCAATTCAAATGACAAGAGAACTTTTAATCAAAGAATACTAACAGCAAGTGAGAGAAAAATAACCATTATTTATTTATTTATTTATTTATTTTCTTGTAGAGCAATACTGGAAGAATGATGTATTGCTATTTTATCCTGGTAATGAGGCCCCAATAGATGAGTTTTACAACAACACTGGTTTTTTGTTCAAGCTTGCAGAGAGATTCCAAGCATTAGTAGTGTTTGCAGAGCACGTAAGTGCAAGTACATGTATTAATAATAATAGTATAAATACTCAAAATATGTACATGAAAGGAGAGTTAGGTAGAGAATGGAGATTGATAGCATAGTTATAATAGGGAAATTGTGCATGCATAGCAAAGCACATATTTTTAACTGATATAATAGTACTTATACTTATTTAAGCATATAAAATAAATCTTTCCTCCTTGATTTTTTTCAGCGTTATTACGGAGACACTCTTCCCTTTGGCCCTCAAGATACCTTCACTCCAGCCAACATGGCTTACCTATCTGTGGGACAAGCAATGGCTGATTTCTCAAGACTG